CAAGTCGAGTGTGATAGCATTTCGCTTTTCGGGTTGAACTCCTCTGGAACTTTGACTCACACTTGTTTTGGCGCTTCTTGACTTTCTTCCTGCAGCGGTCACGTGACAACGCGCCTTGTGCTCGTCACGAGTCGTAACATCATGAAGCGTGAATCAAAATGATAAAGCCGGAGCAGCACGAGTTGTTGGGCTTGTCTCCTCTTACCATCATCACCTGAAGCAAGCAAGGTACAAGCGCTCAAGACTTTATAGTATCGCCCTCCCTGGCTTCAGCATGGTGAGTCCGTCTGGGTGTGCAAGCTTTGCGATGCCTAATCAGAAGCCCTACCAAACATTCTTCACCCCCTCTTCTCTTCTGCCGCATCCGACGCCACCTTGCAGTCCGAGCTGCACTACACTGCGAACACGCAGCTCGAAGCGCTTCATGCTCGCTATACAGGCACGATTCATCCGGATGTGACGAAGCACGAGTGGTTGTCGCACCAGCATCGCGACACGCTCGCTAGCATCGTCGGTCATCCAAACTTGTTGAGCTTCAACGCTATTGCGGAGGGAGAGTGCAGAGCTAGGATCAAGCACGAGATCTGCCAGGTGAGTGATGTGCAGCGAGATTGGCGATCGGCTCGGTGTGTCCACGTATGCGCTCGGAACGCCACTGATGTATCCGCTCTTTTTGCTTGCCTCGCAATAGAAAATGTTACATCCTGTTGGACCACCTCCGCGTCAAGACGGCGAGTGAGGAGTAGATTGGCAGTATCACCTCTTCATTGCCCAGCGATATCTCAACGGCGAGTCGTTCCAAGGCTGGGCGTAACATCGCACTCTACAATCTCGACAAGGTCCCCAATTCTCCCTCTCAGCTTTTCGCCATTACTCTCTGTAGTATAGCCGTCTCACACTTCAACCTAGCGCAATCAATCACGCGGATCACACAGACAACCTCAAGGCTATCTCGGGGATTGTGGCATATACTATTAGGTGTATTGGAGCGGGCAGTTGTGTCTCAGGAAAGTGGAGGTGGTAAATCGGCTTCGAAGACTCATTCAAGTGGCGTTGGATCGAGGTGCATGAGCAACAGCACAGATTTGCGACGATGGGCAGGGAGCAAACGAGCTCTCGAATCGAGGTTGCAAGAGAGGGGATGAGAAGCTCAGTGGTCCCCGTCATCCTCCCAAGCATTTGCTTCGTTCTCGTTCTTGGACTTCGAGCCCGTCACGGCAATCGGCTTGCCGTCTTCGTCAAATGCGGCCAGTGCACCACCAATGGACGCGCTCTTCGAACTAGCGCTCGCGCTCTGTCGGGAGCCGCCGTGACCGTCTTCAGTTGGCGCGGGGGACGACTAGCGGATAGGTTCAGCTAACTTTGCTCTCGTGCAAGTGACCGAATCATCTGCGCGTCTCACCTGGAATGAGTTTCTTGCAGTCAGCCGGAACAAATCCGCTATCGGGAATGGTCTTGCCAATGTCACCTCCGACGTCTGTGGCCAAGAGACGGGTCAACTGCATCAGCAGGAATCGTGGGAGAGCTGACTTGATCTTTTTTACTCACCCCAGCGGGGACAGCTACGTTGAGGGCAAGAAAAGCATGTCAGTCTCGCTCGCTTCGTCTAATGCTGAAGCTGCTCAATCAACCTACTCGATGGGGTCCTGGCAACATTTGTAAGAGATGACACCTGCGCCAGGGATAATCCACTGGGTGAAGTGGTCGTCTGGAGAAATATACAAGAATGAGTCAGCCACCATATCTATCCTCCGTCACTGGGCCATTTGAAGGTATGGCACTACGCACAACCAAGGCAGACGCCTCTTGCGGGGACCTGATCGTTGCCGTGGATACGACCGTGGTAAACACCACCACGGCTGTCGGTAGGGACGAGGTTATCGGGCATCGAGTAAGGGTTGATGCAGCCCCACAGATGGATCTGACGTCCACGGTTGACGCCAGCGGTGTTGTCGACGAAGGGATACGACTGGTTGGTGGTGAAGAAACCATCGTCCAGCTGGACCTGTTCCTGCGGGGCCCATGGCTATTTACGACATCGACGAGCAGATAGAGTGAGTCTGTTGCGCATGATGACGCGTCCGGGTCTTGCCATCACGCGGCTACTCACCTTGCGGCACGCAGAGATGGCCTTGTTGCGGTGGATACTCTGCGCAATGGTCGTGTTCTCCGTCTCGGGCAGGAACAAGCAGTAAGCATCGGCGCTGGTGATGTAGATCTGCAGGTTTGGCCCCTGTTGAACGTTTGGGTCTTGGTTGGGGTCCACCGGGTGGAAGACCGCGCTCGATTTCTCATTGATCTGAGGTTGAGGGAGGCCGATGACGGTCGAAGCCAGAGCAAGGGCCGCGAATGGCATGAGCAGAGTCTTGGTGGCGAGCATCTTGACGGTAAGGGCGGAGGAGAGGATATGAGGGGATCGATCGAGGAGTAGGGAAAAGGTGATGATGGATGGGAGAGGCAAGCAACCCTCCCGTTTGGTCGCCTTTTTAAATGTGTTCTGCTCAGCGTCAGCAGTCTTCTGACTCAGCTCGGTGAAGCGTTATACGTTCGGCTTCGCGTCCCGTGAGACCAGCGCCACGCCATCGCGGGCCCCCGTGGAATGCCCCAAATAGCATCTTCCTTCGTTCCAAGGATAGCAAATTGTTAATTACTAGCGAGGCGAAGTCTCATCGCAAGAGCCA